GCTGGCACGGGCACCGCGCTCCTGCCGCCCCGGGAGGCCGAAAAGAAGCGGTAGCCGCGGCCGGGGGCGAGTAGTTTTAATTCCGCAAGTCCAGAGCTTCGTACAGCCGCCCAGAGGCACCCCCGCCCCGCTGCCGGGGTCCCGGCCCTGCCCGACGCGCGTCGCCACCACGCTGTGGCGATGAATTCCGTCCCTGTCTGGAAATCCGCGTCACTTGTCCAGAAAACGGCAGTTTCCAGAAGGCTAGCACGGCCTTGTGATGGTATTTATTTAAAAATTAGCCAGCTATCAGTTTATGTAAAAGTAATTACTTCCCGTTCCTCAAAAAATGTCGTAACTCATCATATAACAGCATCTTTATTGATAAAATAGACAGAAAATTCTCTTAGCAAGAAAAGAAATACACCACAATGGACTTTTTATTTTATTTTATTTTTTTTTTCCCAGCCCACTGGCTGTCACTGCAACCAAAATGTAAATCAAGTCTTCTGTTAAACCTGAGCCAGTTCTGGCTGGCAGACGTGTGGTAGACTTCAAAAATTCATCCTTCTTCCAAAACAGAGAAGTAAGTGCTCAGAGCTCTAGATGTACCTCCTTCACTCTGGTTCCAGAGTTGATTATATACAAGATTAGTCCGTACTGCACGGTACCCCTAAAACACAGCATTCCTCCACATTTCCAAGACATGCAAATTAGCTATACCTTTTTCTGCAAAAGCATACAATTAGTCCTTGTGATTTGCCTATGCACCTACTTCTAGTTTGGCTTCTACTCATAACTTACGACCTACAGAGGGTTTCTCTTACATGTTCAGACATGGTTGCTCTACAGTGGAGCTGCTTTCTCCTACAACAGCAGCAACCCTTGCCCCCCACCATTACAGGCCTCTCAGCTACTCAAAATCAGTCAATTATCAGAGAAAACGGTCAAAAATCCACACCTTTAGGAGAAATCTGAATTTTTCAGCATGTCCCATTTACACATAGAAAAGTCAGTAGCCTGGTAAGCAAAATGAAATAAACACAAAGGTAGCAACTTGTAAAAGCGTACATGAACTGAGCTATCCAGCTGGCATAGAAATCCCCTGAGCTGACAGTTAAGGACTTTCTTCAGTCTTTGTGACACAAAAATCACAAGAACAGGTAAGGCATGAATTACACCATCGGTTTATGCTAGCTGTCACAGTATTTACTGTGAGACGAGCTTCTACAACACAATAACAAGCATAACCACCTACGATCCGTACAGCAGAAACCAGCTACTTTCACTCAACCTAAGAATGCGGCCTCACCAGCCCTTGGCATTGAGGATCCTGGATTTATGTGTAAAGTTACCACTTGCATTACGGTTGACTGGGTATTTGTGAAACGTTACTCTCCATTTCAACTGTTACTCGCACCTTCCTTACAAGTCACTTGCATCAGCCAGGCAGACATACAGGCTCGCTGGTGGTTACACTTTAGAGCTGGGCCTGCCCAGCTCTTCATGGAAATCTTTCTTGTAGAGGTTTCCGATTTACATTGAAGTATTTGAAGGTATCTTCCTATAAACTCCACTTTCATCCCAGACAATGCTGCAGGGAGTAGGAATTGTATCTTGGATGTAAAAGCATCTCTCATTGAATACGATTAGATACACGGCACAGCAGACTACTCGTTTCCTTCACCTGGGGAGCACCCATAGCCTTGTCAGGGGCAGTTGGTGTCAAACCTTCTGCTTAGTATTTATTGATGCCAAAGATTCGAACGCCATGCAACTGTGGCAGCTTGGGGATAAGCACTGTCAGGAGAGAGGCTGTGTTGAGGATAAAGTGTGTTGGATCGTACTTTGTGTAGAAACTGGCCAGGAAGTACCTGCGGGAGAAAAGGGAGCAAGCTTAGCTGCTAACACCCTCATCTAAAAAGTAAACAAACAGCGCATACTTGAAAAAAGTGCTTTAGTAAACAGACACATTTTACTGATTAACGACCAATCTATTCCTGAATTAAATATCTCACCTGAGGTTCTAGAATATCAACAGAAAAATTATGGACTAAGTCTCTTCCCATCCTTCTCAAGGTGCAAAAAAGCCACTCGGCTAGTATTTTCCTCCAGCATTTCTCCCCGCTCCTCAGGGTGGAGTCTCTGACTTCTGCATCTACAACCCTGATTTGCAATACCAGTTTTAAACGGTCTGTTACCAAAATACTCGCAGTTCTGCTACCCTAGCAAGCTTAGTGACAAAGCATTTGACATTTTTCAGTGCAAAAATCATCTGTGCTGAGCACATCTGTGATTGGCATGGTTTTAAAATGCTTCCCATCTGGCAGACGCTCCCAGCACATTTTTCTTTTAAGCTAGTCCACAACCTGTTCGACTGGAAGAATACGGAAATGTCCCTGAAAAAATCCAATCCACTACCAGCATCTTTACGCTTTGAGTCCATAATTTCACCTCATCGTTTGCAAAAAACAATCACAGAAATGAGGCGATCAGATTGTTGTGGTTTTGGTTTTTTCCCAGCAAAACAGAGATGTTGATTCAGCTACTTGCGCAGCATTAGTGCATGAGCCATACACACGTGTTATAAATACAAAACTCCCACTGGCAAGTGGGAAGCTATCTTTGAAGAAAGACAGGATTTTTTGATGAGTTATATAATTTTTTTCAGTTTCTATCCTTTGTGAACCAACTTTCTTAACATGATGTGGGATCTTCCCTTCCCCCCGCGCCCCACTATCCCAGTGGACAACTTCCTTAAGGGAAAAAAAAAGACTTTCTAGAGTTGGATATTAAACATGTATCTGATTTCCTTTAGTTACACAACCGTATGCTTGTCAACAGACACAGGCGGGGTAGAATTTCTTATCTATTTACATAACTAGTGTGAACAGAAGACAATCTGTACGAAGCAAAACCGACATGCAAAATCCTGGACCCCATTCAGTAAGAGGCTCCTCACGAGAGGCAAAATGGTTAATAAATGCTGTCATGAGCATCCACTAAAGGCAATCAGTTTAGATTTTCAATATTTACAACTTCCCAATCTCTTAAAAGAACTTCACGAATAAACAGTAAGTTTTCCTCAGAGCGTTTCTAATCCTTAAAACCTGCCCCATTAATAACTGTTTACAAGCTTTGACTTCAATGTGTGGACTGTTGAAATCTGCAGGAGGAAAGACTGTTGATTATATGGCCTGTAAATACATACTCCCTACCTCTGTGATGTAGAAATAAACAAGCAAAAAAGGAGAGAAAATGCTTTTAAATTGTAAATGTCAACTTATCACGTTGCAGCTTTTCAAGTAATGGTTTTACAATTCAATTAATCCATAATATGGTTTTGAACTCACAGAATTATAGGAGAGATTGTGAAGAATTTTCTTGAAGATGTGAACTGTACTCCATAATCCAGTTGTTCCCAGTGTGTCAGCAGCCTAGCTTTCCCCTGATCAGGTGTTTCAAAAGGAGTTCCCTTTACTGCATGCAAAAACACATACATTCCCTGGGAAAACAAAAAGCGAATACAGTGGCACTTTTAGCTGGGTTTTTTTTTTTTAGAATAGTTACATTGTTCAATGCATTAAAAAAAAAAAGTAAATTAATTCTCACCCAGAAGAGCTGCTAGCCTGTAATGACAAATTACAGAAGGGGAAGGAAAAGACAAGAAGCAATTTGCCCGAGGTTGTGCAGTCAGTGGCACAGTCAGAATTAAAGCCACAGTCTGTGTGCCACCCAATCCACTGCCTTGTCTTCTACATTAGATGGCAAAAACTGCATGAAATCAATAGAATTTTAACAAGCACTGTAACAAGTTTAGGGCTGCCAATTTATATTACCACTTTCCTAAGAAAGTGCTAAATGAGTTATGAGGTAGAGCCTGCACAAAGGAAAAAAAAAAAAAAAAAAAGAAATCTATCTATGAATGCTGGCAATATTACAAGAACTTTTGAAAGCTTTCTTAGCCCCCCGGTAGCTTCAAATACTTAGAAGCTGACTACCAGCAACCTGTTGAACACCATCTGTCCACCTCTTCGCTGCTTCTCCTTAACCACGCCACTGTTCTCTGCTGTTGTTTCTGTTTGATGGGAGCACACCATGTCTGCTCTGCTCTGAACAGTCAATTTGGGCCCAAAGATCAATCAAGATAGGGGAGTCCACCCTCTTCCAGCTTTAATAAACATCTGGTTTCTATTAGAGAGAGCACACCAACTCCAAGCAAGAGTCTCTATCAGAAAATATCAGACACCTCCATCTTCCTTCTTTCAGGTGCATTCATTTCTTACGCATACACAGAAATTCTTACAGAAAGCTTTACATAGAAAAATCACATTTCTTCAGAAGGAGGGGAAAGTTGAGCAAGTCACTTCACGTCTTCTTCCACTTCTTTTTGGAACAGCCCCTTGACCAGAGGCCTATTAACCTAAGAGAATTAATCTGCTTCATTCATTCTTCAATTCGTGATGTTTGCAGCGTCTCAGTTTTAATAACTTAACCAAAAAGGCACTTTTAGGACAGATCCAAATGCTTACTACACGTTTTATATCGCACTGGTACTTGCGGAAAGGACCACAAAAAATGCTTTCAAGGTCAGCTAAGAGTTTTCCATTAGTGGAAATCCAAGATTTTTTTGTTTGTCAACAACCCAAGGATTTGTTTCAAAAAAAGTAACATTTAAATGCCAAAATATCCAAAAGTGCAGTTCATAGTCATCTTCTAGTGTTCCACTAGAAAACTACTTGCCAAGTGCGTGCTCTCATCCCTGTTGTCATTATAGCTACTTGCAATGAATTCAGTAAGGCGTTTGGGAAATATTTAGTAATAGCTGTCTCTGCCAACATCTTCTGAAGTCAGGCATGTCTGATGCTGTCAAAGACAATGTGCAACATGCTCTAATGATGCTTACAACCCTACTGTTAGTTTTAAACGTAGCTACAAAAATAAAAAGCTCAAACAAAAAAAAAATTACAGATTTCTTTATAGGATTCTAGATGATATGATCCAACCTCAGTCTTTCAAGAGAACTATCATTTTCCTAAATAAGGAAGAAGCTATCTTTTTGTCAAGACTTCTTTGCTGTTAATCTTGGAAAGCTGAGTTAGCAAACCTCAAGTATGATGTAAATTGCTGGATTATGGCCCTCTTTTCCCTAAGATTGGCAGGAGCAATACACATACTTGCACTGCTTTAAATGATTACAACAAAATTATAACGTCCTGGGGAAGGGAGGCAGAAAGATTCTTAAGGCCTTCAACTTCCAAATCCTTCTGCATACAGAAGTCATCATGCAAATCACACTGCGCTGAATAACAAATGGTTTCAGGGCCTGGGTCAAGGTAGTCCAGTTTTCCTCACTGCTTTCAAATAAGATTTTTTCTCATGTCATGTAGAGTGACAAAGTTGTATGCTGAAGTCATTCTGAACTAAAATTTATCTAGCTTGACCAGAAATCAAAGCAAGAAGGGAAAGAACACAAATGTTTCTGTCCAAGGAAACAGGTAAAGTGCTGAAATTAAACATTTTGGCATACTAACATATTTATGTAGAAACATTAGTAGATAATATCCAAGCATTAAAAATGTAATATATTTTACGGATGCAGCACAGTTCTCTAACAATATACAAAACACTGTAAAAGTCGCTTGGCATGATGATTTTATGTTTGCAAGATTCTAGCTTAATTAAATGCCTTTTAAAAGTATACATAAAATATGAAAGGAATATTTCACATCTTTTGTGCTTAAACACAAAGTGATCACGTATCACTTCTCCCAAAACCAGCCAACTCATTCAGCAGTGGATAAGCCAAGTAGAGGTGGTGTTTTGGCTAGCTGGATTTCATACAGCCTGGCTATTTTTTTTCTTCTCCTGCTACTGAAAATAAATACATATGTAACAAAATTCGAAAAATAGTTCCAAGAGTGGGTACTTACCAGGTTGTGAATCACATTTGTTAAAGTCCAGGCGACAGGGACACTAAAGAAAGGAATGCTGAGCAAGACAATGTGCAGCATGCCAACTCCAAGCGCATATGTCAGCCACATTCCACGACTGTTCATCACCCGTGTGTTTGGATTTACCTCGCTGTGGGCAACTCCCACGTTCATTTTTACCCTGTAAAACAGAACTGTTTGAAGATTGAGACTACTGTTATAAAGAAGTACTTAACATACGCAATTTTCAAATTTGGGAAAAGGCTGTTTTAAATAAGCAGGTCTGGAAGGAGCACAGTGCATAAGCGAAGATGTACCTCAAGATCTTCAAAGTATGGTTTATAGAGAAGTCAGTACAAAGGGGCTGTTGGGAACTGGTTGTGGGTTTGTTTTTTTTTTTTAAAAAAAAAGCCCAAACAAATAAAACCCATAAGCCTGCTACAGAAGGGACATTTAAAAATTAATAGTAAGCTGTGCTGTTAGAAGCTGAAGTTGCAAACATGTAAGAAACCAAGCTTTGTAATTTTGTCCTCTACATTGCTTTCTCCATCCACGACAATATCTGCAGTTCTTTTCTGCTTCCCATATCAGACAATTTTCCTCCCGTTTCTCATTCATGTAATGACTAATGATGAATTCTGCATATACCAATTGCCCAGCCACCTACTGCTAGAAAGAACAAATAAGGACTAACTTATGCCTGCTTTTCTTGCAGCAGAGCGCAGATTTCAGATTTTCCTCCTCTCCCCATCTGTTAGTTTTCAGACAGACATTTCTGTCTTTTAAATCTGGCTGAAATTAGCCAACAGGTTCAAAAGTTTTCTAAGCGACAGACGTATGCAGAGCTACACAGAACAATTTCATAAAGCTGATTTCTTCAGGAGACTGACAGAACTTACTGGAGGTGACTCTCGTCCTGTTGTACTAAAAACTGTAATGATCATTGAAAATCCTGATTGCACACTTCATACTCACGTGATCTGTAAGACTATTTATATTCATTTATGGGCCTGGGATGGACGCTCTTTAACTTCCTTCTGAATCAGTCTACGAAAGCATTGTTTAACCAGCAAAAAACAGTTTGCTTTTGGTAGGAATTTTGGGTTTTATACTTGCTTAGTGCTGTAAAGCACTGGTAATGCCCAAGTATTTTGCACTGTTTAACAGTAGGCTGTAGAACAAAAACAGAGGTGGCGAGCCCGCAAACCGAAGCGGGGGCAATGCCCATTTCACCCAACGCTCGCCGCAGAGTGTTCCGAAGCGTGCGTGTGCAGGGAACGCGCCACCCGAGACGGGGGAAGCCCGACCGTGCCCCCCACGCCGGGATGGAGCCGGGCAGGTGAGCCCGTACCCAGGCGCAACCCCTGACACCGCCTAACGTGTCTTCCCGTCTTTGTCACGTTTCG